CGAGAACATTCACTCGTTGGATTAAATGAAATTTTTAAAAAGAAATGATATGAAGATGCTATCAAAATTGATCTTACTTGATATCGATGATATATATATATATATATATATATACAGTAAAACCTCCTTATGTGGACACCTCTTTATTGTGGACACTTGCTAGTCCGACCGAGTTATTTTTGCTTGAGTTGAACCTCTGCAATGTGGACACCTCCGTATTCTGGACTGTGGACACTTTTTCTTGGTATTATTCACTATAAACAACCTCTCTAATATGGACATTTGCCCGAACTCATAATTTTGTTGTTAAGTGAAAGTTGAGTACGTATATGTTCATCGATTGAATTTCAAAAATGAATAACTTGTTATAATATGAAAATCTTAATTTGAGTAAAATTTAACGAATTATACAAGATAGCAAGTGAGCATAGAACGAACTAGTCGAAATGAAACAAAGGGAGAATAGATCAGATACAGAACAAAACAAAAGAAGAACAGACAAGTGTGAAACAGGACAAAGAAAAGAACAAATGAAACAAATATAAAGGAGGACAATCAGAGAAAGATATTAATCTGGCGTTCATTTATTCACAAATGAAGCGACACGAACTAACACTCGAACAAAAAATTTCATTAATCAAAGATAACAGCAATGGCAACGGTTTATCAATACGAACATTGGCAGAAAAATATTCAATTTCAAAGAGCAGCGTGACCAACATCTTAACTCGTCGTACTGAGTACGAAGATGATTATTTAACAAATGCTAACAAGGGTATAAAGCGAAAATTAAAGAACGGCAATGGAAGGCAAATTGATGAAATTCTCTTCGAATGGTTTACAGCCCAACGGGCCAAGAACATCCCGATATCAGGTCCTTTATTACAAGAAAAAGCTCTGCAAATTGCAGAAGAACTTGATATTTCATCAGGTGAATTTAAAGCTTCCAATAGATGGCCAGAAAAATTTCGACATCGACATATGATTGGATATAGGCAAATATCTGGTGAAAGTAGTAGTGTATCTACAACAACTACTGAAGAATGAAAGCATCGACTCTTGGCAATTATTGGTGGATACAATGAAGATGAAACTGCACTTTTGTCTAAAGCTATTCCTGATCGATCACTGGTGCTTAAAAAAGAAAAGTGTAAAGGTGGTAAACATTCAAAAGAACGCTATACTGTGTTACTTTGTTCTAACTGGAGTGGCACTGATAAATTGAAACCATTAGTTATTGGTAAGTCTTTATGGATAATTTTCTATATCGTTTCTAGTTGATTTTTAGGAAAAAGCTATCGACCTCGTTGTTTTAAAAATTTAAATATTGGTGATCTACCTGTCACATGGAAAGCTAATCGAACATCATGGATGAATGCTAAACTTTTTTCAGAATGGCTTATTGAACTAGATAAGAAAATGAAAAAATGTTCACGTATGATTCTTCTCTTTTTAGATAATGCTCCTGTTCATCCTATCGACGTATAATTATGCAACATAAAATTGTGTTTTTTTCCGGCTAATACAACTAGTTTAGTGCAACCTCTCGATCAAGGTGTAATTTATTCTTTCAAGTGTTATTATCGTCGAATGCTAGTGAAGCATATTATTGCTCAATGTACTATGGCCCATAGAATCGATCAGATTTCAATAACAGCACTAGATGCTATTGGATGGATCAGCAAGGCATGGAATACAGTTACAAGTACAACGATCAGTAATGCCTTTAGGCAAGCTGGCTTTTCTAGTATTTCATCTAAAAATCACAATGTAAGTAACGATATTATGTTAATAGATGATAATGAAGACCAAAATCCTATAAAACAACTTGATGATCGTCTTGTTCATTTACAGATTGGAGGTAATCGAATGTCGGCTTCAGAACTTGTTAATATCGACTCAAATATTCCTGTTTTTAATGAATGGAATGACAACAGCGATCTTCTTATTGAAATTACTAATCATGACACTGCTGAAAATAGTGAAGACATAGAAGAAGAAGAAGAAGAAGAATCAAATGAAATGGCACCGCAACTTCCAGAAGCACTTGATATTCTAAGAAGACTACATCTATTTGCATCGAAAGAACAGCCTGAACTACACGTGCTTATTAGTGACCTCGAATAAAAAATGACTGATCTTTATCTTGATTCGAAAGTGCGTAAACAAAGTTGTATTACAGATTACTTCAAAAAGCATTCATGAGATTCACACAATGTTTAAATCATTTATAGTAAAATTTCGGTTCACTAGTTGATCTTGAAACAAATTGGTTCAATAATATGTTTTATGAAATGATTCATTAATTTATTTTTTATGGATTTGTTCAATAGTGTATGTTTTACTTAATAATTTAATAGTTTATTTTTGATAACTAGTTTTATATAAAATATTGCATAAATTTGGATAGAAATAAACCACGAAACGAAACATTTTCAAATCGTGTAATATGTAGCATGATACACAAAACGTCATTTCAAGGTGAATTTTGAGATTTAGTAATAACTCGGCAGCGAAAAATTGGAAAACCTCTGGAAAGTGGACACCTCCCTCTAGTGGACACTTTCACGTGGTCCCTTGAGTGTCCACTATAGAGAGGTTTTGGTGTATTTCTTTAGTAGAATAGTTTTCAATTTCTAAATTATTTTGATAGAAATATTAATTAATTTGAAAATTAATTTTATTATTAAAATTTCAAGAAATATATTTAATTTAATCGAGATAGTCTCTGTACATTTCTTTTCAAATTTTTTTTCTTCATTTTCTCTCTGATATTTTCAAGTCGAACAGAGAAAAGTAATAAAGAGTACAGTAGGAAATCACGTTATAACTTCCAGGTTTGATTTGATGACGTATTTATGTAGTCGATTTTTTTGCCATCGACATTGCATTTAAGTTTTTAACAAAGATTCATCTCTTAATTTTATTAAAATACTTTCAGTCAAAGAAGAAAAATGCGAAGTTGCAAATTATTTATTCGTATTTTCAGCAGACCATCTAAAGGTTCAGCTTCATTGATACTGAAAACTTTTAGTATAATTTTCTAAAATTTTGATAGTCAGCCTATGTATGATAGTAATTAGAAAAAATGCATAAATTTTAACAAGAATTTTTATTTTATGTTTCTTCATTAACTTTTTCTTTTTTTTCTTACATAAATAAATGAAAAAAGCATTTTCGTATAACAGCTAATAAAAAATTTTTTATTTTGAAGTTTTAAATTCGTTTTTCAAGGAAAATTATATCCCAAATAGAGACTATGAAAGATGTAGTAAACCCCTCTGCAGAATAGAAGCCCACCCTATAATAGAAGCCCATCCGGAATAGAAGCCCAGTCCCAAAGTTATAGTTTTTCGGACGTAATAGAAGCCCACTCGAAATGTGTATATATAGAGAAATCAAGAAGACAAACATTCTATTGATAATTTTCAATTTTTTTAAATTAAATGTCCATGTCGTCAATCTATTTCTTTCGTTTTGTATATCTTCTTCTTTGACTATTGAACTTCGTTCGCCAATTGTGACCGTCGACAATTTTGTATAGAAAAAATAATTCTTTTTATTGTGTTCTAATTTTCGATATAAAAACAATCATATATATACATTTTAATACTTGTATTGCAACATTAATTCTCTATCGATTCGTAACAGTAATTCATTTTCATTCAAGTTGTGAATAAAAACTTATTTGAAATGGAAGAAACTCACTTATTACCATTACATTCTTTAACTCAAGAAATTGATACCGAGTCGGACTCTTCAATTAGTTCAGACGACGAAGTAATTGAAAATGTTATTCAAATGCTTGATAATGTAATAGATTTAACGGATATTACCAACGAATTACAAGACAATGAAGAAGATGATGATCAACAACAAGCTGAAATTGACATTCCAATATCTTCCATGAGTGATACAACAACTAATCTGATTCAACCAACAAAATCTCATTACAGCAACGACAAATCCATCGAAAATTCTTCTTCAAAACGTCGATCTTGGACTGTTCAAGAAAAACTAAATGTTATCAATGCATTTAAAAAATGCAAAATATTTCTGAAGTTAGTCGACAACATCATTGTGATCGAAAACAGATTCGGGAATGGTTAAAAAAAGAACAACAATTGTTACTCATCAAGGGCCAAAAAAATGAAAAAAAGTTGATCGTAATTGAAGCCCACCTTCAAACTTATAATTTTCAAAACAAATTAGAAGCCCAGTGGGCTTCTATTCTGCAAAGGGGTTTAGTTCTTGCTTGTCCTTGGATAAGTTATTAGATTTCTCTTCGTTCAAGAATATAGATATGTGCTGAAAATTTCTTTTTCTCTATATTGTTTGTTTTAGGCTCATCGTGTACTTGCTTTACTCAAACTGAAAGATCTTGAAGATACTAGCTCCTCTTCGCTGGTCAACAGTATACTCTCTAAAAAAAAACAGTATTCTCGGAAACCAAGGGAGAAAGGTTTCCGAGTGTTCGGAAACCCATTTCTTGCCCTCGAGAACCCTTTTATCGGTTTCCGAAAGCTCGGAAACCCAT